AGAAGGGAAGAGGGGCCAGGGGAGAGAAACATCAATGTGAGAGAGAAACATATTGGTTGTCTCCTGTACACGCCCTGACTGGGGATCCAACCCCCAACCTGGGTATGTGCCCTGGACCAGGAATCAAACCCAGGACTTTTCCGACACTCCAACCAAGTAAGTTACACTGGCCAGGGTAGGAAATACATTTTTTTTAAAAAACTAAAGTTTTAAAATTTTAGAAGCAAAGAGAAGGAATGAGAGAAGGAAAAAGGTGTAGGCAGGTTCATTGGTATAAACTGGAGTTGAAGAACATGTTTAGCATTTTTACTGCCTTCTCATACAATGAAATATTATAGGCATAACTTTGTATCTCGACGAGTGTGATGAATGGAGAAAGAGGCTGGATTGGAGGTGGATCAAAAAATGCACGTTAGGAAGTTGATATGATAGCTGTATGCAGTACACTTTGACAGAAGTTGAAAGAAGTAAGAGTTCTAGCACAGGAAGGTTCAAAGGCTCTCTTGAAAAATTACATAATGAGTTCAATCACAGGCTACAAAAAGACTGCTGAGACTGTATGACCCTTACTCAATTTCAAAGTCCAAAGTTATTAGTAAGTTTATAACTGGTAGCCTAAAATAATCATAGTTCCAAGCTGAAGATCAAATTATGAAGTTAACCTTCTTTTCAATAGCAATCAACTCAGGAAAACACACTTTAACTACTTTTTCTATATGGGTTTAAAATCAGATCCTTGTTGTGTTATCTTGGCTTATTTGGGAACCTCTTGATTCTAAATTCTGGTTTTAAATAATAAAGTTATCAAAACAAAAAGAGCAACTAGAACTCTTATTTTGGGCGCAGACACAACAGCTGGCCTGCAGGCTGCGTCCTTCAGTATGTGCTTGAGGTTGTTGACATAGCAGCAGTTGTTTCTTTAAAAAAAAATTTATTTAATTTATTGGGGTGACCTTGGCTAATAAAATCATATAGATTTCAGATGTACAGTTCTATGGTACATGATCTGTGTACCACCCAAAGTCAAGCCTCCTTCTGCCACCATTTACCCCATTTTACCATTCACTACCTCCCCCCACACCCTTTTCTCTCTGGTAACCACCATCCTGTTCTCTGTTACTGAGGTTTTTTTGTTTTGTTTTTTCTTAATTCCTTCACCTTTGTCACCCAGCCCAATGCACCTGCCCTCTGAGAGCTGCCAGTCTGCTTTCTTTCATCCTGCACCGCTATAGCTACAATTAACCATTTTCATTTGTCCTCAGCTTCATTTCTCTCTGCTTAGCAGCCTCCAAGATATTCACTCTTGACCTGAAGTAGGTTGAAACTGGAGCAAAAGACAGGATTCCTTAGCAAAAATCACAATCTACATACTAGCCTCATTTTTACTTTTTTTTTTTTTTTTTTTAATGCTGGGTAGTCCCTCAACTTTCACAATTTTCAAGTACTGGTTTTGCCTTTTTATTAAAAGGCTCTACTTGGGGAGCAAGTTGGCTGGTGGTTAGGTATATTTCCTCATTCTTAAAGGCACAGGGCAGTGTCCACTGTGCAGACCTGATGTATTAGCCAGAACGCAATGTTCAGGGTCCTCTGAAGGGGGTCAGCTGATCCCTCAGGGTGACTCACACCCTCCTATCTGTCATTTGGCTCTATTGCCTGCCACTAAGGATAAAGGTATATAAATGTTGAATCACTATGTTGCACACTTTAAATCAATATAATATTGTATGTCAACTATACTTTAATTTTTAAAAAGTGAGTGTAATGCCATGAAGGACAAAGAAAAAAATTGTATCAAGAAAGAAGGAGTTTTGACTGTAATTGCGTCAGGGAATATAAGGACTGAAAACTTCAGGCACATGGAGATCCTTGATCATGACAATAAACACTCTTTTGGTAGTTTGACCAAGGTCAAAGTTATAGTGCTGCAGTGGAAGAGTTAGAGGAGAGATGCATGAGTGGAAGTACATTACAGATGACTTCTCTCAGGGATCTGGCTATGAAAGGGAAGAGATCAAAGAAGAATATAGGATCTAGGGGGTTTGTAACTGTTGTCATTGTTTTTAATATAGAAAACAATTGAACATAGTAAATGCTAAGAATGATAGAAATGGTGAGTTTGAATATTTCAAGGGGAGAAGAAACAATAATGTAAGTTTCCTGAGAAGGTAAAAATATATTGGCCCAAAAGAAATTAGTAGTTTTTTTGAGACGCCCTGATAAAGGAGTACCACATTCTGGCTCTTTCTCCCATGATGACTACCTGATTTCCTCTTCAAAATCAGTTTCTAATATGATTCATTTTGTTTGTATTAACTCATTTGATTATCTCTTATTCTTCATTATTTTGGGGTCCAAAAAACCTACTAAAAATGTGAGGCAGGTTAATAAATAAAGTTATTTGACAAGCCAGTTAAAGGAACACAAGTGATGCAAATAGGAGAATAAAGAATCATGTTAGAAATGAGAAAGATTTAATTACATGTAATTCTTTTTAAAAGAAGAGGCTATATTTTCCAATATATTGAATATATAAAAATCCAAATATCATAACTTTGTGAGCAAATTTTATGCACATTATCAATAGCATATAGTAAGCATTCAATAAAAAGACATTTCTAAATTAATTATGCATGTATATATAAATTAAAGTGTGAGTTTTATGCTTGCTACTGTATATTTTCAAGTATGAATTAAGGGCAAGAATCACTATCTGTCCATGAATATACTTAAACAGTTTAAAATATCTCACAGAGCTATATTCTATCTTCAAGTTTATTAACGAATGTCTCCACAGAGCTTTCATGTGTTTATAGTTAGTGCGCTGAAACTCAACACTTATTTTGTATAACATTGCTCAATGGAGCACAGGACACTAAAATTATGGCATAATCATAGTAAAACTCTGAAATTTTTTTATTGGTAAAAACCTTTCAAAAGTGAAGACAACCTAGTAAAAGTATGCCAAAGTAATTTCAGATTGTTGTATACTAAAATTTATGAAACTTGTAACTTAAACACATACACAAAATGTAGATAGTGGGTGGACAAAAATAGATTTAGTTGTTTGCCTAGAAAGATATGCAGGCTACGATTATTATAGTAACTTTATTATAATACAAGTATAAACTCTGTGTTTTATGTACTCACACTATAAACGTAGTTTTGCCCACACCGGTATATGTATTGTCCCACAATTGTCCTAGACCCATATTTATCTATGAGTTCTTCTGAAAAAAAAAAGTGATGGAGAATGATTGCTTTTTTTTCCTGTGGTAAAATGTACATGACATAATATTTGCCATTTTAATGATTTTAAATATATAGTTCAGGCATTAAGGACACATTGTTGTGCAACTATCACCATCACCCCGTCCGGACCTCTCTCACCACACCAAACAGAAACTCCACAGCCATTAAGCACAGTCCCCAGTCCTGAGCTCCCCCAAGCCCAAACCTACTTTACAAAGTCTACTTCCTCTGTGAACTAGATTCTATAATATACTTCATAAGTGGAATCATACAAAATGTGTCCTTTTGTGTATGGCTTATTTCACTGAACATAATGTCTTCAGGGTTCATCCATGTTGTAGCATATGTCAGGATTTCCTTTTTTATGACTGAATTATATTCCATTGTTAAGTATACACCATATTTTGTTTACACATTCATCTGCCAATGGAGACTTTTGTTATTTTCACTTTTTGGCTATTGTGAATAATGCTGCTATGACCATTTATGTACAAATATCTGTTCAAGTCACTACTTTCAATCCTTTTGGGTAATACCCAGAAGTGGAATTGCTGGATTACATGGTAATTCCATATTTTTAAAAAGAAGGTATCATCTAGTGTCTTCAGTTGTTGTACCATTTTACATTTCTACCAGCAATGCACAGGGCTCTAATTTCTCCACATCAAATTATTGTTTTAAGGATAAAAATATGAATTACAAGTTTGTGATACAATTTCTGTTCATATTTCTTTTTATTTTCACTTGCTTTTAGCACTGATATCAAACCATAGGATTTTTGATGCAAGATTTAGTTTGATTAGAAACCCTAAATCCAAGAAATCTATTGAAAGGGAGAGAGAGAAAGTTAAAAGTTATAAAAGTTAATGCATAGAATAGCTATAAGGAATGGGGTCAGAAGGCAGAGTTTCCTCCCTAAAATCTTACTGTCATGCTTCATTCCTTAGAATGTGGTGGCCAATTCAACTTACAATAAGAAGCTGAGAAGAAAGACAAAAGCATGTTCTTATAACAGCAACTAAAGGGAAAGATGCATAAATGAAGAAGGAACGAGTTTTGCCTTTGAGGCAGAGGTAGAATTAAAGATAATGTGCACCTACATATTCTGTGGCTTCCTGACAAAAAGGTAATTAAGAATTTAGGATTATTTGTATGACATTTTCTTCAGACTGTTATATATAAGGTAAATGGTGATAATTTGGTTTAAAATATTATAAGCATTTAAATAAAATAAAAGAATGTTTAAGGGATTGAAATTAAGTAAAACATTCAATATTTGAAACAGGCTAGAATTAGAATCATTATTTTAGAATTAGGAATAATCATTTAACAAAAAAATAAAATGACAAGATTCATAAAGCAATTTCTTTAATTAACAGAAAAATATACAACTTCTAAGGTTCATTATAATATGCCTATTATGACATTTTATAAAATATTGACATAGACATTAAAATTCTATTGTTCCTAAATTTGTTTATAGAATATTATAAAGAGAATATTTTACATATATACTTAACAATTTCATATGAAAATATACTCACCTAAAGCATAACAATAATTTCATTTTACAAAGCACAGTAGTATAAATTTAAAAAAATAAATTGTCATTTTTTGTGATAAATCCAAGTTTCATCTTAGAGCTTAAGGTAATTTAGTGTATTTCATCAAAGTTAATTCAAACTAGAATTTCAGAATTACCACTTGGATATCATGGAATACTGTGACCACCTTTCAGAGTCATTTTAAAATTATTCACATAGGACTTTGATTAGTTTAGCTACTACACGCACGTTGAGACTATTTCCAAGTAGACGATAACGCTGTTTCACTGTTATATTCTCAGGAAATCCTAGAAAAAGAGAGATAACAATTTATAATGCAATCACTTTATAATAATAACTTTCAGAGATAAAAGGATATATCCTTTAGTAAGAGCACAGTGGTCATATACATAAATAAGCCCCCAAGTTCTCCACAAAGTTCAATGAACAAATGATAATTTAGAGCCAAAAATATTATGTAACAGTACATCACCTACACACTGTGATATTGTCATATCACATTACATATCACATTATGCACAGTGCACACACATATATACATTTAACATCTTCAGAACTACTAGAAATTTGTATGTTAGTGCACTTTAGGAAAGCAGTGGCTACCTATTTCACAGTTGTTTTATTTAATAATATGTTTATTGAAGATACAATCCACATTCTATAAAATTCACCCTTTTAAAATATAAAATTCAGTGATTTTTAGTATAGTCACAAGTTTTTCATACATCTCTACTATTTAACTCCAGAACATTTTAATTAACTGCAAAAGAAAGCCAGCCCACAGTTAACATCATACTTAATGGTGAAAATGTGAAACATTTCCTCTAAGATTGAGAACAAGACAAGGATGTCCACTCTTGCCAATTTTACTCAACATATTATTGGAAGTCCTTGCCAGAACAATTAGGCAAGAAAAAGAAATAAAAGTCATTCAAATTGGAAAGGAAGAATTAACCCTATCACTATTTGTAGATGATGTGGTATTGTATACAAAAATCCTAACTACTCAACCAAAAAATAGTTAGAATAAACAAATTCGGTAAAGTTGCAGATATAAAATCAACACACAAAAATCTGTTGTTTCTATTACTAATAATGAACTATCAGAAGGAGAAATTTAAAAAACCAATCCAATTTACAACTGTATCAAAATGAATGAAATACTTAGGAAGAAATTCAACCAAGGAGGTGAAAGACTTGTACTCTAAAAATTATGAGGCACTGTTGAAAGAAATTGAAGAAGACAAAAACAAATGTAAAGATATTCTGTGATAATGGATTGAAAGAACTAATATTGTTTGAACGTCCATATTACTCAAAACAATCTACAGATTCAATGCAATACCTAATGAAATTCCCGTGACTATTTTCACAGAAATAGAACATACGATCCTAAAATTAATTTGGAACCACAAAAGACCCAAATAGCAAAAACAATTCTGAGAAAGAAGAATAAAGCTGGAGGCATCATGGTCTTTTATTTCAAACAACATTGGGAACCTATAGTAATCAAAACTATATGTATGGTATTGGTATAAAAACAGACTCATTGATCAATGGAACAAAATAGGGCACCCAGAAATAAACCAATAGCCTATATGATCAGTTAATTAATGACAAAGGAGGTAAGAAGATAAAATGGGGGAAAGGACAGTTTTTTCAATTACTGGAAAAACTGGACAGCCATGTGCAAAAGAATGAAACTAGACTATCTTACATTGTATACAAAAATTAACTCAGAATGGATTAAAAACTTGAACATATTAAGACCTGAAACCAGAAAACTCTTAGGAGAAAACATAGACGGTAAGCTCCTTGACATAAAGTCTTGAGACTAATGTTTTTGTGCATGACTCCAAAAGCAAAGGAAACAAAAGCAAAAATAGACAAGACTACAACTAAAAAACTTCTGCACAGAAAAGGAAATCATCAACAAAACAAACAAAAAAGGCAACCTACTGAATGAGAGAAAACATCTGTGAATCTGATAAAGGGCTAATATCCAAAATATATAAAGAACTCATATAACTCCATATGACTCCAAAAAACAAAAACAAAAAAACAATTAAATTAAAAAATTGACAGAAGATCTGAATAGGCATTTTTCCAAAGGAGACACACAGGTCAACAGGTTCACGAACACAAGCCCAACATTACTAAGCATTAGGGAAATGCAAATGCAAATCAACACTGCAATAAGGTATGACGTCATACCTGTTAGAATGGTTATTTTAAAAAAGACAAGTACTAAAAAGTGTTGGTGAGCATACAGAAGAGGGGAACTCTTGTGTACTGTTGATGGGAACGCAAATAAGTTAAGCCACTGTGGGGAAAGTATGGAGGTTCCTCAAAAAATTAAAAAATAGAACTATCGTATGATCCAGTAATTTCACTTCTGGATATTTATCCAATAAAAACAAAAATACTAATTAGAAAAAGTTTATGCACTTCCATATTCAATGCAGCATTATTTATGGTAACTAAGACATGGAAAAACCCATGTCCACCAGTAAATGAATGGAAAAGAAAATGCCATATATACAGAATATACAATGGAATGTGATTGAGCCATAAAAAAGAATGAAATCTTGCCATTTGTGACAACATGGATGGAGAGTGAGAGCATTACGTTAAGTGAAGTTGGTCAGACAGAGAAAAACAAATGCCATATGACCTTACTCATATGTGGAATCTAAAAAATAAACCAAGCAAGAAAACAAAACTCATAGGTACAGAGGACAGATTGGTGGTGATGGCTGGGGGAGGGGAAACAAAATGGGTGAAGGGGATAAAAAGGTACAAAATTCCAGCTATAAAATAAATGAGATATGAAGATGTAATGTACAGCATGGGTAACTATAGTTAATAATACTGTATTCCATATTTGAAAGCTGCTAAGAGGGTAGATCCTAAAAGCACTCTTCACAAGAAAAAAAAAGAAAAAAATTGTAACTATGTGTGGCAACAGATGTTAACTAGATTTATTGTGGTGACCATTTCACAATGTATACAAATATCCAATCTTTGTTGTATACCTGAAACTGATACAGTATTTCAATTATACTTCAATTTTTTAAAATGCCAATACCCATTAGTACTCATTCACTGTTTCCCTTCTCTGCTGCTCAACCAGTAATCTACCTTTTGTCTCTATGGATTTGGCAATTCTGAACATTTCATATAAATGAAACCATACAATATGCTGCTTTTATTTCTGGCTTCTTTCATTTAACATAATGTTTTCAAGGTTCATTTATATTATAGAATGTACCAATACTTCATTCCTTTTAATGGCCAATAATATTCTATTGTATGGATACATTACATTTTATTTATCCATTCAGAAGTTTGAGTTATTTCTACTTTTTGATTATTATGAACAATGTTGTTATGAACATTATGAATAAGTTTCTGCATGAACATTTATTTTTAATTCTCTTGGATATACATGTAGGGGTGAAATTGCCGGGTCAAACAAGAACTCTATTTCCAACATTTGAGGAACTTTCAGACTATTTTCCAAAGTAGCTATACAATTTGATATTCCCAAAGATACAAGGGATTTCTCCGCATTTTTTTCAACAGTTATTGTCTTTTTGTGAAATGGTGTCTACTATGGTTTTGATTTACATTTCCCTCATAACTAATGATGTTGAGCATCTTTTCCTGTACTTATTGGCCATTGGTCTATTTTCTTCAGAGAAGTGTCTATTCAAATCCTTTGTCCATTTTAAGATTTGATTATTCTTCTTATTGTTGATTTGTAAGAGTTCTTTATATATTCTGGATACAAGTTCCTCACAGTTGTTTTTTTATATTTTGCTTCCACAGACTGACTTTCTCATGGTGAAGTTCTATTTGCTACATTCTTTTTCAAAACAAAATGGCCCACAGATACTACATTTACTGGAACAAAGCCTTGTGAGTATCAACATAAAAAACTGTCTGTGTCTCAGAGTATACAGCATAATGTTGGTTACAATGGTAGAAATTCACATTCAGTATCCTTTGGCATAGCAAGTATATAAAAGAAAGGCAATTTATATACTAAAAAGAAGGAACTGAAAAGCTTTAAGAATAGCAAAATTTCATACACTTGTGAGGATCAAAAGGTAGAGATGATTAGGATAAAGTTGCTTCCTCAACACTTGACATTATACTTACAATAAAATAACAGTGATTGCGATAATAAAACTGTATTTGCAATTAAGCATAATCATAAAATTGCTATTATAAAGATAATATGTCTTAGGCAAGCACATTAGTTATCTCAAAAATTAGTAAGTTCAAAGTAGCCATAGGTACAAATACATCTACAAAAGGATCGTCATAAAGATGACCTTTTGCAATATTAAGATTACATCATAGGAGAAGAAACATTTGAGAATAAGTCAGATTTGGCTCTGACCAGTGTGGCTCAGTTGGTTGCATGTCATTTTGCAAAGCAAAAGGTCACCAATTCCTGGTCAGAGTACATGCCTGGGTTGTGCGTTTGGTCCTTAGTCATGGGTATGAAAGGCAACTGATTTACATTTCTCTCTTACATTGAGGTTTCTCTCCCTCTCTTTCTCCCTCCCTTTCCACCTCTCTAAAGTAAATAAATAATATCTTTAAAAAAATAAGTCAGATTTGTAAAAATTATATGTGCATGTGCACTTTATATATAAATATAGATATTAAAATCTAATCTACCTATGGAAAAATTACATAATTTTTTAAAAGGTCACTTTTAAAATACTTAGGTACATTGAAAATAATAATAATCCTCATTAACAAAAAACATAGAATTAATGAGGTCAAGCTAGCAGCTTTCATTTAGTAAGGGTAGGTTAGTGTTCTTCTCTTCCAAAGCCTGCTATCTCACAAATGCGCGCTACTAGCCACAGAGGGAACCAGGACAAAATGTATGGAAAAATCAATGCAAATCCATCATTGCCAGTGGACAGGCAGGTCAAACAATGCCCATTTTGGAGCCCAGGTCAATAGTGTCAAAAGCACACATGAAGGACAATTCTGTAGGGGTGCTTCTTAGTGATAATATCAGGGCAAGTTTGACTATACAAACAGATCACATATTTTAAAAGAAGGTAAGCAATGAAAAAGGCTTTCTTATATGTATTATATATGTATTTTACCCATCTAAAATTTTTAAGTAATGAGAAAAATATATATGAAGGCTATAAAAACAAATAAATGTTTATGATTTACAAAATAAAAGCTAACTCTTAAATTTTATATTGTGTCAATGTGTAAACATTTTACACACACTACCTTACTTAACTGTCACAACAACCCAATGAATTTGGTGCAATTACCCCTGATTTACAGATGCATAAACTAAGGCAGGGAGTGGTTAAGGTAGAGGTAGGATTCAAACTCAATCAGTCTGACTCTGGGGTCCATGCTAAGTTTCAATATTATGAAAGTGGTGACTGCTATATGCAAAAGCACTTACCTAAAACTTAGGAATTTCTTGTTATTAGATAGTGATCTCTTTTCTCTTTTTAGTACTATCTAAAGTAACTTTGCTCATTCTAAAAAAAGAAAAAAAAACTAACAAGGAAAGCAGACTGGGAATTAAATTGTTGAGCTTAATCCTCAGCTCTTTTGTTTATTTCATGATGTTCTCACTGACTTTGTGACATCAACTAAGACAAGGAAAGTCTGTGTTTTTCTTAAATAATGCTCCCCATGATATTTGTGACTGAATGAGATCACCAAGAAAAAGTCAGAGAACAAAATAAACCTGCTTGCTGTGACTACGCTCAGCGATTCAATTACCAAGAGGGTGGTCAAATTATATTAGCAGTTTGTTCACACTGTCAAAAAGGATGTGTTCTAAAACTTCATCTGTAAGTCCATTATTTAGAATTTAAAACATAATCCATTCATCCCATTATGCGCTTCAAGAATAGTACTATGCTACTATTAAAACAACATTGGATTTGGTAGTTTGGATTTTCTGCCTGAGAATGCCAATCAGAGTCAAAAACACATTCCTCCCTGCATCCCTGGAAGCATGTTAAGGAGGCCTGTCTTTCCCCTCCTCATGAGCCACGTAGGGTAACATATCCACCCCATCCCAAGACAAGGCATCAATAGAGGAGAGAGCACGCGCACCAAGGACAGGGGATCAGGTAGGGGCAGAGCTGCTCAAAGAAGCAACAGCATGTGTTCCATCTCTTAATAGCCACAACCCCTGCAATTTCTGGACTGCCAAAACAGTTAGGACTTTGTCTTACTCTATAACTGTATCTATCTTATTTTCATTCCTGAGATCCCCTAATTTTGGTCAGTTCTGGCATCTGAGCTCTTGAGTCACCCTTCCTTCCCATAAGGACAGCTTCTTCCTACACCACTTCTCCACCTTCTCTTTTCTCCACTTAGACCTTGTAGGGAAGGACGAAGTCAAATACTTGATAAGAATGCATCTTCAAGGAGAATAAACCCCTTATACAAAAATGATAAGTTCTTCGACCACCTTTTAATTTCTTCATAAAAAAGAAAATTCTAGGCCTTCTTTCACATGATTTAGTATTGGGTTATTAGAATGGGACCTCTGGAAGCAAGAAAATAAGCTGGAAAAAGAGATACAATTAACATCCATCCAGAGGAGAGGTGAGGAATTGCTGATTTGGTCCTCAGTGCCTGAAAATCACTCAGGACCATTAATGGAATAAAGGGAGAGAAGAATTACGTCTGAAGGGAATGGATTGAGGCAGGTTATAAATGAACATGGGAATACAAAGGAAGAAAAATGTTAGTAATTGCACAATCAGGATAGAAAAAAGTTTCTTACATCTATCTGTCTGAGCAAGGGTTTCTTCATAAACTACACATATAAGCCCATAATGAATTTTGGGACCTTTAAGAAATGAAAGCTAAGGTTTGCATGTATCCCACATACCAAACTCTGGAGGAAATCCAAGGAGATTTGCTATTTCTTTAGGAGTAAAATATCGAAGTTTAAGCATTAACAATTTTTTAATCTTTTCTTCTTGTGACAAATTGGTAAGAGATTTGTAGATATCCTCAATCTGTAAGAAAAAACCCCAAGACAATTGATAAAGTGGAATGCAACTAGGTTTGTTAAGATCATCTATTGTGAGACAGTTTAGAAATGATGGCTATATAGTCTGCTGTAACATACGGCAGCACAAGGAAAAACGTCCCTTCAATAAACTGTGTATAACTGGCTCATCAGTGGCAATATAAACTTTGAAAATGAACAAAAGCTAATGTTCAACAGATCATGATACTTGCAGTGTATCTGTCATTTTTGATCCCTCAAAAATTAAATCATAAAAATATAAACAATAAATGATGACCTAAAAGAAGTATAAAGATTAAAAAAAGAAACTTGATCAACCATGAAATCAATTTTATAATGCTTAACAAGTACATCTTTAAAATGTTTACTGTTTATAATCAATTTCATCAAATTATTTTCTTAAAATGATAAAATATAAATTCCTCAAATAAATATATATAAATATTCAATAAATATAATTCCTCAAATACAGGTATAAAACTTGTAATATATCAAGCTTATATTCAACCAGGACACCATAAAGAGTTTATAATTGAAGTATTAATAAAATATCTTGCTAAAATATAATTTCTTTCCTTAAAAGTCACTTTTTATAGTATGTGCCCCAAACGAAGTCTCCGATATTAAGATATTTATGCATAATTTTAGAGAAATTAACTATTGTATACTGCATGTCAATTTATTCTTTATGGAATAAAAAAATCCAGAAGGTAAGAATAAAAAGAAAATAAAAACATAAATATTTTTTGTACATAAACTTATGCAACAACAAAATCTTCTATAGTAAAGAATTATATTTGAATATAAATATGAATTATATATAGTCATTCCCAATGGAACATGTACAATTATTTTGACATTATCAAATTTTAAGTATTAAACATAATTTTATCTAAAATAATTTTCAAATAATTTGCTTATAAAGCATGCACAGAGTACCTTCACATCCTCTGCAGTCTGCAACACAGATCCTGTCCCTTCTATATACCTTCCATAACTGAAAAATTAACACAAATATTACATGGCATCTAATGCATTTGTTAATGAAATTTAAAAAAATATTTCCTGAATAAATTAATCAATCTCATAAATAATTATATCCTTCTGAAACACTCTGAATGTCATTACATAAATACACTGGTAATTGAAAATTACTAGGTGAGGGATATAAGAGCATTCTATTTAAACTTTCCAAACACTAAACTTGGCATAGTGTTTTGAGTAGTATAAATATTATTCCAAATTATGTATTATCAATTGTCATTTCTTTGTATTGTCATTTTTAAATGTTCATCATTAGTAAGTATGTACTTGTTACAACTTTATATCCAAATACTATTCAATATTTGCATCCCTTCCACTCTAAACATAATGTTATATAGATGAAAATAAAGTGCTGCTCTTTTTTACAAGGCCAGAACCTTTCTTCTCATGAACACAAGATCCAACTCTCCAGGACCATGAAAAACAGGAGACCTGTTTTAGATATTACTAATATTTCTTCCCTAAGATAATTGCCAATATGGTTATTCAACATATTATCATTATTATTTTTCCTAATAGATCAATACTAAATATAAATTAAAGAAAAAGTTCACATTGGAGAACCATTGTTTTCTCATATGTAATTATATATGTATGTTTATATTGTCTACACTAAAATAGACTTTTACAGTAAGGCTTCTTATATACTATATAATTACAAAAAAATTTCAAGGTCATTTTTTATTACAAAATTGATGTCTTGTTTTATTAGAATCCTAAAAAGAAACTATTGGACTTGGAGTAGACAACAGCTGAGTGAAGTCTTTTAAGGTAATGAAAAGCAATAAACCCATTCCCCTGGAAGTACAAGGTCAAAGTATGATAAAATCAGATTGAGTCTGCTATGATTATATCAGAAGCATAATGCCCTGTGCAAGACAGATAGCTAGTAGGTAAAAAGAGAAGACCTGAAGTTGCAAATCATACAACTACTTATGAAATGCAGTTGAATGGCATTAACAAAGCAAAGTCAGGAATCTTTCACAAAATTTTCTGGAAAGGTCTAACTTTTCCCTTCTTTCTAGGTTTTAAAAAATTGATGAAAAATATATTAACATTTAAGAAATAACCCAAAGGTAACCAGTAAAAGAAATTATGATATACCCATACCATGAGAATAGAGGAGTTCTTTATGTACTTAAATGCAATAATATCCAATTTATATTGTGCTATAAAAAAGAGCACACCATAATGGATATGTTAACACTTACTTAAAGAAGGGGGTAAAATATACATGTATATTTAAATACACTCACACATAATACCTCTGGAAGATCAGAGAGTAAATTGAAATTACTGGTTGCATGTAGAGAGGGAAACTGAATGGCTGAAACACAGGGTGGAAGGGAGTCTTAAAAATCTTAGTACCTTTAGTATTTTGAACCATGAGAATATATTACTTATTTTAAAACCTGAATAAAATTAATTAATTCATATTCACCCAAGTATATGTTTATTGATTTTAGAAAGAAAGGAGGGGAGAAAGAGAGAAAGATAGAGAGGGATATCGATTGGTTGCCTCCTGTGTGCATGCCAGCTGGGGATGGAAAAATGCAACCTTTTGGTATACGGAATGAGACTTCAACCAAATGAACCACCTGGCCAGGGTAAAACTGAATAAAATTTAAAATGTACTCTAACATGTGCTAGATGATTCAGTTCCCTATTTTGATACTAAAATGTAATTTCTTCTCTATATTTATCATGAGTGGACATAAATTTTTGAGGTCTGATGTGCCATTAAAAAGAAAAAAGGGTGCTAGGGAGAATCAAGATGGCAGAGGAGTGAGTGGAAGTCACACTGACCTCCTCCCAGAACCAACCTGGAATTACAACTAAACTGTTGAGAAATCGCCTAGAACAAACAACTGAGCAGTAGCGAGAGAGGAGCCTTGTAACCTCAGAGACAGAAGAATCAGCTTTAGCACAGCCTAACTGGTAAGGAGTGCGGTAGAGACTCAAGAAGGCAGGTGGGGCACTACAGGCAGCAGCACCAGAAAGATTTGAAAAGGCCAGTTGGATCCCCCTGAGAAGAGGAGGGTCTAAACCAAAAGCAGGAGTCTCCAGCCTACAGCACCAGAACCCAAAAAGTACACAGAAAACAGCCCACTGGGAAAGGCGGCAGGGTTGCTCTCTGCCAGAGACAGGTGGCTGGAGACACAAAGAACTGTTTAAAGGGACAATGCATAAATTTTTATTTGCAGCCACTTACCCTGGTCTCCGGCAAAGGTGGGGGCAGAGTGAGCTAGAGACACCAGAGAGACTGGGGAAGGAGGCTTTGGGGAGAGGACTGAGAGAGTAGCCAGCAGGATCTTGGTGCTCACTCATCCCCCATGCGGCAAGAGCCATCTTGCTCAGGCAGAGACCACTCCCCCTGAGCGGCAGCAGCATCAGAGAACCCAATAGCCCCACCCCCGGGTGGGATTCCAACCTGCCCTGTGCTGTCTAAGCTGTCTGCTGAGTGCAGAGTGGTAGCCACAGATAGTAGATCCCTGGCTAAAAGGGGGACAGAGAGGTCTGGAGACACTTGAGGTGAGACTGCGATGGAGGCTTTGGGGAGAGAAGGGAGAGAGTAGCTGGCAGATCCCAGTGCTGACTCCTCCCCCATACAGCAGTAGCATGAGAGGACCCAATAACCTTGCCCCAGGAGGGGCTCCACCCCACCCTGAGCTATCCAGGGCGGCCTCCTGAGTGACGAGGTTAACAGCTGAAGGAGACAGACACAAACAGTAGATTCCTGGAAGTCTTGAACAGACTGCCTAAGGTCAGACAGGGACATCTGACATCATCAGAGGGAGATTCAAAAAGTAAAAACAGCAGTCTCCCACCATAGAAATTCACACCACAAAGTTAGGAAATCAAGACAGATCAACTTAAGAAGCAGAAACAAAAAAAGAAGAGTCTCACAAATAATGGGAAGACAAAGAAACATCTCCCAGTCGAAGTGATGGGAGGAATCCACAGAAAGAAAACTAAATGAAATAGAGGCAAGTAAATTATCAGATATTGAGTTCAAAACAATGATTCTAAGGAAGCTCAAGGAGCTCAGTGAGCTCAGAGAGAATTACAGGAAATTACAAGGAACTTACTGCAAACTATATCAGCATGAAAAAGGACATAGGAACTATCAGCAAGAGACAAGAGGAAATGAAGAACACAATTCCTGAATTGAGGAACACAGTAGAAGGAATCAAAAGGCTAGATGAAGCAGAGGATTGAATCAGTGAGCTGGAGGATGAGGTAGAAAAAAGCTTCCAGAAAAAGCGAGAAAATGAAAAAAGACTAAAAAAGAATGAAAAGGCATTGAGGAAAATGCAGGACAGCCTGAAACGTAGTAATATCCATATAATAGGGATACCAGAAGGGGAAGAGGATGAGGAAGGGATAGAGAAACTGCTTGAAAAAGTAATGATGGAAAACTTCCCTAACTGGATGAGAGAAAAAGTCACACAATTCCTGGAAGCACAGAGAGTCTCATTCAAGAGGAACCCAATGAGGCCCACTCCATGACACATCATCATTAAATGGCAAATATCAAAGTCAAACAGAGAATCCTAAAGGAAGCAAGGGAGAAAGAGGTGGTAACATATAAGGGAGCCCCAATACGGCTAGCATCTGAATTCTCAACAGAAACACTGCAAGCCAGAAGGGAATGGCAAGAAATATTCCAAGTCATGAAAAGCAAAGGCCTGCAACCAAGACTGCTCTACTCAGCAAGACTCTCAATTAAAATGGAAGGCAAAATAAGGAGTTTCCCAGACAAAAGATGGCTAAAAGAATACACCTCCACCAAACCAGCACTGCAAAATATGCTAAAGGGACTGCTTTAAGATGAAGAAAAAGAGTCTATGAATACCCAGTTCCTTTCACAGTTGCTAATACTTGATATTACCAATATTTTTATATGTATGAATCTGATTGTGACAATGATGTGTTCTTTTAATTGTTCCTTTATTATTTGTTGAAACTAAACTTGGTTTTGTATATTTCTTGCCTATTTCTATTATTTTTAAAAAGCTTTAAATGACTATTTGGTGTTCTTTATCCATTTTTTGATTAAATGCTTGTAGAATTTTTTCCCTAAAAACAAAATAAAACAAACCATTAACCCTTTTTAGATGTGTTGCAAATACTTTCCTATTCCATTATTTGCCCTTTAACTTTTTTTATATGTATATTACTATATAGTCTTAAATGTTTAATATAGTCATATTGCCAATATTTTACTTTATAGCTTCTGGGTTTGAATATTTTACTTCAGGGTAAGAAAAATATTATATTGTATGTTCTCCTAAAACTCCTTAGATTCTACATATTGATTTTTAACTCATCTGAATATTTCTTGTATAATGTGTGAAATATGGCTCTATATTTGTTTTATTTCAAGTAATAGTGGTCCATGCACCTTATTTGTTGAATAAGCCTTATTTTCCCCATTGATTTGAAATATCAACTTAATCATATATTACATTGTTGGACAGATATATACATTTGTCTCTAAAATGCTCATTTTATTTCATTGATCTACTTGATTATTTCTGTGCTGGTATAATGTTGGTTTAATTGCTGAGACTTTATAATGGATTTAAATGTTTTAATATTTTATAATGGGTTTTAACATTTAATAATAAAAAAATCAATCTGCATTTAAGAAAGAAAGAAGGAAGGAAGGAAGGAAGGAAGGAAGGAAGGAAGGAAGGAAGGAAGGAAGGAAGGAAAGAAAGAAAGAAAGAAAGAAAGAAAGAAAGAAAGAGGGAAAGAAAGAAAGAAAGAAAGAAAGAAAGAAAGAGAGAGAGAAAGAAAGAAAGAAAGAAAGACAGACAGACACAATGGAATACTACGCAGGAGAAAGAAAAAAAGAAGTACTAAACTTTGCGACAGCATGGATGGAACTGGAGAGCATCATGCTAAGCGAAATAAGCCAGGGGGCGAAAGACAAATACCATATGATCTCACCTATAAGCGGAACCTAACCAACAATGCAAAGAAGCAAGGAAAATACGACCAGCAACACTGAAAGGAAAAGAAATCAACAGAGACAAGAGGGAAGGGGGGGCAGGGAAAGGGAAGGGAAGGGGAAAGTCAAGGAACATATAGCAAGGACTCATGGACAAAACCAAAGGGGAAGAGCTGAGGGAGGGAAGGTGGGAGGGGGCAAGGGAAAGAGGTGGGGGGAAGGCAGAGACAAATGTATTTAAAAAGTAAATAAATTAATTAAAAAAAATATTAAAAAAAAAAAAGAACATAAAATAAACTAAAAATAATTGTAAGTAAATCCAAGTTAACCTCATAGGAAGACATTTCATTGTAAGTTGTTGATTCAGATTAAAATTTTTAAAATATAAAAAGAAAGAAAGAAAGAAAGAAAGAAAGAAAGAAAGAAAGAAAGAAAGAAAGAAAGAAAAGAAAGAAAGAAGTCCTACCTTTTGCAACAACATGGATGGAACTGGAGAATATTATGTTAAGTGAAATAAGCCAGTTGGTGAAAGACAAATACCATATGATCTCACCTGTAAGTGGACTCTATTGAACAAAATAAACTAATGAACAAAATAAACCACAGGCATGGAAACATGGAGCAGACTGAAAGTGACCAGAGCAAATGGGGAAGGAGGACAATGGTGGAAAGAACAAGGAAGGACTAGACAAAGAACATGTATGAATGACTCATGGACATGGACTGCAGAGTGGGAACTGACTGTGGGAGCAGGGCGTGGGGCTGGGATGGGTGGAGGACAGCAAGGCGGAAAAATTGAGACAAATGTAAGAGAATAAACATGATTTATAAATTTAAAAACTATTATTAAAAAAATAAATAAAAATGCAACCAAAAAAAAAAAAAGCACTAAAAAATTAGCAGTTCAGCATCTTTAGAAACTGTGTTTCCACCATGGGTACTTAAGCTCCTATGAAAGTCACCAAACAAATGTCATCGTCTTTCATGAGCAGTTTTATGGGTTGTGCACATAATGTTCTGCCAGAAGCAATTTTTACTTGTGCATTCTATTGGAACTTCATGAAAGCAGGCAGTTTAGGGGAAAAAATCATTCTAGCAGGAACATTTTATAATATGCTCCTTGTTTTGAGAACTAAACAAAACAATAGGTATAAAAACCTAGTTATTTTGGATATAATATGAATAGAGTCTCTTTAAAACCTACCCTTTTGTAAAGCACATGGATCTTCTGCAAGTGGGTTTAACAATGTCTAACAAAAGAGCGTATCGCAGCAATGACTTTGGTGGTAAAAAGTACTGATTCATATCAACGTCATCTTCAAGAAAATCTTTGAGCATTTGCACAGAGAGATCACTGTCCTGTTGATGCTTCCTGTCAACTTCTTGTGCAGTTTCAAGTTTAAAAAGAATGGTTTCTTTTCCAGAACATTGTCTACTGTTATCAAAGGAAACATTTCGTTCAATTTTCTTTCCTTCAATTTTCTTTTCCACAATTTTCTTTTCTGCATCTAATGCAAGTTTTTGTGGATGTTCAAATTCAATTTGGGGAAACTCCATCAGTACCTGGCATTAAGCAAAAATACACAAATTGTCCAAAGCTTTATTAAAAATAAAAGAAATTAATAGCATCTAGTCAACATTATACCAAAACTCTTTTAGTCTTTATAAAGTTGTCATTAAAAAGATAAAAACTGTTTTTTACTTATATTTACACAAATTATTACAAGTTTTTCTTCATACAGCTATAGTGTCATCTGGCTGCAGATGATTTATTTCATGGAGTTACTACTTTCTGAATTCATTAATAAAAAATTCAACAAAGTAACAGGAGTATGTTGAATAAATGTAAAACATCACACCTGTGAAAAAAGTTTAGAAAGCAACATTAGCATTCCTAGAAAATGTGCTTTGGAAAAAAGCTTGCCTTATCCCTTCGTCAAAGAAGAAAAACTGGAAAATATGCATGATCTAAAGGAAAACTAGTAATTAAAGAAAGAAAAACACTTTTCACTCTGAAAGGTTAGTTCTACTCTTGCGTCCCATAGGAAAAACTTGTTCCTGCAAAACATATACCATGTATAAAGTCCTATTTTGGAAAAAAAAAAAAAGTCCCAGGAATTTTTAATCATGAATCTTTGTTAATATACTTTATACATTCTTTTTGGAATTACCCCCTATGGGAAGGGAAGTGTATTGGTATTGTATTGCAGGGGATTGAAATGAGGCTACTGACCCAGTGAGCAGGACATGACTTTGAGTTCCTACTGTGATGGTTATGGAGAGCTTCACTTGGACGACTGACACTCTATCATTCAGACCAGTTGTTGACATGACAGAAGCATGTACAACTGCCTACGTAACTAGATGTCCTATTATAGCAACTGAGAATTTTGTTCTATTTTGTATCAATCATTACTACTTTTAATCAATTAAGGTTAAATAACATTGACTTCAATAAAAATGCAACCAATGTATTAAAATACTCAAGTCTTTTTTAAAAGATAGTATAATTGAATTTTATCAAAGTAGTCAGTGGATTTTGTTGGAGGAATTATGATAAACACAAAATAGTCAATGGTCAGAAGGTAAATTATAGAAGAAAAAGGAGGGTAACAGCATTAGTGCTAATTTTTTAAAATTTTTAATTTAATTTTTTTCTAATGATAAAAGTGCTTTGTTTAAAACAATAAATATGGCATCATTAGAAAAAAAGGCCTAGGGGATAGATCTAGGGCATGGTCTACATTATAGGCTCTATAATATATATAAACCTCCACGAAGTAGTTCTTGAAATGAATTAACACACTGAGATTTCCAATAGATAAATAATAATAATGACAACAACAACAATAATAATAATACCTGACCAGGGGCTTGAAAAGGTAATGGCTCTGACTGAAGCTTTGCAATAAGGAAATACCGGAGCCTTGAATTTGGAATGCCAAGCTGGAAATTAAAGAGATCTGTATCAACTACAGCTCTGTTAGTACCTAGTAAAGAAACTCATACAGATGTACGTTCAGCCTCTGCTATAAAAAAATTTTATTAGCAAGTTGTGGAAGACTTCTTTGCAACAATTCTTAAACCCTTTAAACTGCTGCTTTATACCTTTATTCTGAATGAAATAAAGATTGAATCTGATAAATCATATGTCTATGAGTCACTTTCATTTTATATTTCCCAGAAAAGAAGTTATATGGATATTTTTTATATTCATTATTAATATATAATTATAAAGAAATAAAATACAGCTATTCTTGGTGATTTATTACCTCATTTTATTAAAAAGGATTCACCAAATTTTAAAGTTAAAAGGCAATAAATAGGAAATAAAATTTGAGATCAGATATGTTGCCAATTTCCACAGCTGGACATCTAATTTTTTTAGACTGGTGTTAATTTAGTTTTAGGTTTAAAGTATAACATTAGCTTATACAGTCCATTAAAGATAGTTCCACGTGCAAAGTAAGTGTTCATTCATTAGAAATGTATTGAATAAAGGAACAGACTGAAAGGAGGAAGATGAATAGAGGTTACAATCCCATTATTACCTACGGCATCGATCACCCCCACCCCCCGCAATTTGGGTCGATCATAAAGTAGTGAGAGACTTCTGATCCTATAGAGAAGTCATTGTGAAGGATAAAAAGTTTTTTGTTTCTTTTTTAAATGTATTTGCCTTGCAGTCTTAGGGTATACTTAAGTTTAATAACAACAACAAGAATAAAAAGAAAAATATGGACATCTAATTTTTGAAATAGGTTTTCTTCTAATTTTAAGGCAAAGAACTATAAAATAGGTAAAAGATGATAACAGGCTAACAATACAAAGAGAAAAGAAAAAATAGGCAATGATACTTGTAATATCAAAGATCTACCAAATTCTTATCATAATCAGTTTCTTAACCATGAAATAGAAGCAATGTTTGCATTTTAATGGTATGCCCCACCCCAAAAGGATTAGAAAATTATACTATGCTCATTTTGTTTTCTATCTTTGATTATTTTGAAGCATTACTAAACTACAGCACACCTAGTTTGTAAATACTGCATTTCACATATTTTCAAAATATACTTATTTTTTTATGTGGAAAGAAAACTATATTCTCTGTGAGCCTCAAGTTATATAATATAGATTTTTCATAAAATGTATAAATGAATCTATATGCCTGTACTATATTCTTTGAAAGTAAAACCCATGTCTGAAGTAATTTTAAGATTTACCTATAATATTATCCATATAGATCCATTCTTCTTACTGATTCAAATTCCCTTTGAGAAAATTTATATAAGAGTTTATAATTTTGGTACCTACAGAGGTTGGCGATAATAGAAATTCTTGGTACTGAAAGCCGCAATTTTCTATTGTTTTTATTAACAGGTCTCTGAAAAGACAAAAAATAAAAGGAAAGAAAAAAGAAAAGCTTTCATCCTACAGTTGAAAATGGAGTTCCTATGTAAAATATTATACATGAAGCTTTAAGTGAAAACTGTACCTCCACTCAAGTTGTTTAGAAAGAATAATCCTAGGTCTTTATTAAGTCCAGTACCTGAGAAATTATATTTCTCAAAGAAAAAGGAGATAGTTTTCATTATAAATAAATACAGCTATCAAATAATTTATCCAAACTACAAAGAAATAGTCACTCATTTACTGATAATAAATTTGCTATGTGACCTAGAACTATCTGTAGCAATGGGGCAACACTGTTAGAGACAGCAGCTAAATCAAAGACTTGGATGTGTTCTCTCCAGTGGGGCTACCATCGGAAAGGGCCCTGACACAGGCTGGCTTCTCCGTCTAACTGTATGACAGAAAATGCCTGTCCACAAGGCCAAATCTTTTTTTTTTTCCAATTAAATTTATTGGGGTGACACTGGTTAAAAAAATAAATGCAATAAAAAAATAATAAAAATTGTGTAGGTTTCAAGTGCACAGTTCTATGATACATCATCTGTATATTGCATTGTGTGCCCGCCACTCAAGGTCAAATCTTCTTTCATCACCATGTACCTATTTGAATCCCCTACCCCTTCCCTCTGGTAACCACCATACTGTTTGTCTGTGTCTATGAGTTGTTATTTGTTTGTTTTTCTTGTTTGTTCATTGGTTGAATTCAGTTTTGTATCCCGCATGAGTGAAATCATATGGCTCTTAACTTTTTTTCTCTGACTTATTTTGCTTACCATGTTATTCTCAAGATTCTTCAATAGATGACTGGATAAAGAAGATGTGGTACATATATGCAATGGTATACTACTCAGCCATAAGAAAAGATAAAATACTGCCATTTGGGACAATATGGATGGATCTTAAGGACCAATTCTTACTGAAGACATTCCAACATCTAAAGAAATAGGCACCGATATTAGCAGCTAAAATTGAGAAATACCTCCTTATTAAAATGAGTGCTCTTTCTGGAAAAACTCAAACATCAGAATGGGAAAGAATCAGTTAAACTTAACCTTGTGATGCTTTATACTATTAATTAGTCAAAATCAACATTAATGGATAAAATATAAGGCATAGGATATAAAATGTCAGAATATACATATTTATTTTTAAGATCTATATTTCACAATAGCTCCAACTATAAAATACACTATGTCTCAGAGGAACACAAGAGAAATACATTTTTTACCTTGTAGCAGATACTTCAAAACCTTTAACATTTTCTAAAAGAATGTACTTCGGTAATTTTCGTAATCTAAAAAAAAATACAAAACAAAGCAAATGGAATTTAAAAAATCTTATTGCTAATAAGTAAGAAAAAAAGAAAATCTGTACTTGTGGGAAATATGATGTAAGTAATTTCCTGAACTCTCTTTTTTTAATAAAATAATTTTATAAGGGATGAAGACAACTCATATTTTATTCATTTTTTCCCCATAATCATGGCACACCTGATGAAGTTAACAGTTGAAATGTTCATTTCCATTGAGTTTATCTCAAAACATGGGTTCACACAAAGCCTCTGCACCGCAGCTCAAAGGGCCGCCAGGTACACAGAATGGCAACTCCCAGAGTTAGCAAAAGCTTCCAAGCCATGGGCAACAGCATTCGCTAACGTAAGCTTCATATGCATTAATACTATGAGCACAGGCAATAGCATTCAGCTATTAGGCTGTAATTTCCTGTCAGTCACTGTAGTGGCAACTGTGGAAGCAGCAAACAGCTTGCAGTTATTCTATTAGTCATGGCAGAAAATAAACGACTGCACAGTATCTCTAGGAGGCATGAATAAACTGCAACTCTCTATGAAATGACCAACATAACATTCTTCCAGGTCCAAAGTTTTAAATTTAAGGTAAGTTTGTACAGGAATGTAAGGTTTTTACCTTGGGAGAATATCTAGAATATATAAGAAGCTATTTGTCCTTGGATCAGTCACATCACCTTGCAGACCAATTCTAAAGGGATTAAGAAAGCACAAATAAGTTTACCCAGAATCTTACTAAAGATCAGATCACATTTAAAAAAATCAAAACTAAGTGAATCAAAATTAGTTGGTGTTCACAAAAAAAAATGATCATCCTTGTTGCTACAGAGAACAAAATGCCAAATAACTGACATAAAGCAAAGAACAAGAAGTCAGTGAAGAATAAAATCAATTACCGTCTTAAAATAAGTTGGCTTAGGAAATACACACACACAACACTACTGATGGCAATGTTTGCTCTGCCCCCGATGAGACAACAAAAGTTCCAGTGAATGAGCTGCTTGGATAGGGGGGCAATGTCGACCTGATGGCATTGATGACCTTTACCATCTAAGCAGATCAAAGTGTCAGGGAAAACTGAGATGATCTTGTCCCATGTGAAAAGGAGAGACTTAAGCTAGCTGAAGCCTTCATTTCACAAGCAGGAGTTGCGACTAGGTTACTTACACTAACTAGGTTAAAACAGATCACTTAAACAGGCAGTATTTGGACAAGCAATTATTTCTTACAAATAGGATTCAAGATAGTTAATTTTCTAACGGCTATGCTGTGTACCTGAAACTAATAGAAAATAATATTGAATGCCAACTGTAATTGAAATTTGAAATTTTTTTTAAAAAGATCCAAATTATCAAGCAGAAAGAAAGACTTGTATTGGGCCTCAGGATTAGAAACAGAGGACCGTGCTACTTACTAGCCTCATAGTCTTAAATAAGTTACTCAATATCATGCGTCAGTTTCCTCATATCTGACAGCAGGGCCAAAACCATCAGTGGGCCTGAGGTTCAGATGGGAGGTTAGGGCAGATCTGAAGGAATTTCTCGGAAATCTGGTGTTCTCATTCTGGTCCTTTCCTTTCTGCACTCCAAGTGATGGCAGTAGTACAGAATCAATTACCGCTACCATCAGAATATGACTACATAAGGGAGATGAAAAATTCCCATTGCCTAGTGACATTGTAGCCATCATAACATTGTACGTAGCCATTGCATTACCTGTTGTGGTGACAGTGACACAAATAATCTTAGTGCACTGCCAGTCCTATGAAAGTATAGCACATATAATTATGTACAATACATAATACTTGGTAATGATTATAATTGACTGTGTTGGCTAAATAATGGTTTATGTACTCATTATACTATACTTTTTGTCATTTTAGAGTGTACTCTTTCTACTTACTAAAATGTTTGCTGTAAAACAGTATGCCAGATTACACTGGCAACAGCCTTATATATATAACGTTTTCACCATGTCTCTTGATTGCATCATTTTGTCTTGTTTGATTCAATCTCATGTTCTATAAATTTAGTGTAGCCTAAGTGCACAATGTGTGCAAAGCCTACAGTAGTGTACAGTAGTGCCCTAGGCCTTCACATTCACTTACATTCACTTACTGACTCACTAGAGCAACTTCCAGTCCAGCAAGTTCCACTCATGGTAAACACTCTATACAGGTGTACCATATTTTATGTTTTATACCACATTTTTACTGTACCTTTTCTATGTTTAGATATGTTTAGATACCTAAATGCTCACTATTGTGCTGTAACTGCCTAAAGTATTACTGTAAAGTGCTGTACAGGTTTGCAGCCTGGGAGCAATAGGCTATAGCATATAACCATATAACCTAGAGTTGCGTAACTGCGCTCTGTGATGCCTTACACAGTGATGACATTGCCTAACCACACATTTCTCAGAATGTATCCCTGTCATTAAGTGGCACATGATTGTATTCTTACATAGGTATAAAAGAGGACCCTTATAGTCCCTGCACATCTACTACTGACCAAATTACTTTGCTCATGTGACAGTAATTGCTATTTTCTTCATAATTAATGCTGAATTACAAATATGAGTAGATAAAAGAAATTATTTATGAAAAATTTCAAAACTATGAAAATGCAGGTGATGTACCTCAAAGTGTCCAAGCTCAAAACTACGGTATGATTTGATTTAATGAGTCCCTCAAAAGCACTCCTTCTCAACAGAGAAGCATTTATTATACATACCTTGTGAATGGCTGACAGGGAGGGCTCATTAAAATCATATTGAAAGATAATCTTTCAAACTCCTCTAGTGTTATGCCCTGAGGAATGAACATTTGGGGGAGAAAATGTAAAAATGTATAGAATGGGAAAAGAGTAAAAATTCTAATTATAAATATATCAGAAACTATAACAGTTGATAGCTTTATTTACAATACCTAAAAGTTTATATAACACAATACTTTCCAAATCAACTTCAGTTAAACTAACTTTCCAAAGCAATCTTGTAAAGGAAGCAAAATCACAAAAAATTAAGTGACTTTCCCCAAGTCCCAGAGCCAGCCAAAACAGAGTTCTAACACTCCTTTTCCTGGATCCTAAGCATTTCTTGCCACCATATTACCTCAAGTCTAACATTGTTGTGTTCTCCAGAGTCAAACATGGAGAACTTTATTTTATAACTAATGATTTTCAGCATAGGGTCAAAGAAATTTTAAACACCTATTAATAATTTTTTATTTAGGAAATATGATGTACTGATCAGTCACCACCCCTTTTATGTCTGTCTCTGTTAAATATAAAACCAAATGGAAAACGGTCCTGTTTGTCAGTTAAGCAAAATTATTATATTGTTTTATAGTTGTGTCTAGCCAAATAATTTCAAAAGGTTGTAGATAAAATTTGTCAAAATAATCCCTACTGAGCTAAGCAGTTGAAAAGCATGCTATTTTGCTCCTGTTTTATATATCAGAAGATAAATATAGAGAAACATAAGTCATGGGTTTGCCAGTTCTCATGAAGCACTCTTAATGTGCACTCTTAACCAGAAATTTAAAGCAACAAGCCTGGATTCACAACATTCCTAATTATGACACATATCTAAGAAGTTTAAGGACATAAATAAAGCAGGAAGAGCCTTACTCTGAGTTCTGTAAAGACTGAAATAACCTGGGGAACACCTCAGTTGTCTCTGTTATATTTAAAGTTTAAATGTATATGTCTTTTTTTTAAATTTTATTTTAATTTATTTTTTCAAATACATTTGTCTCTGCCCACCCCCCCACCACTTTCCCTTCCCCCTCCCTCCTTCCCTCCCTCAGCTCTTCCCCTTTGGTTTTGTCCACGAGTCCTTGCTATATGTTCCTTGACTTTCCCCTTCCCTTCCTTGTCCCCGCCCCGCCTCCCTCCTTCCCTCTTGTCTCTGTTGATTTCTTTTCCTTTCAGTGTTGCTGGTCTTATTTTCCTTGCATCTTTGTATTGTTGGTTAGGTTCCGCTTATAGGTGAGATCATATGGTATTTGTCTTTCGTCCCCTGGCTTATTTTACTTCGCATAATGCTCTCCAGTTCCATCCATGCTGTCGCGAAGTTTAGTAGTTCTTTTTTTCTTTCTGCTGTGTAGTATTCCATTATGTAAATGTACCATAATTTTTTGATCCAATCATCTACTGATGGGCATTTAGGTTGCTTCCAACACTTGGCTCTTGTAAATTGTGCTGCTATGAACATTGGGGTGCATAGGTTCTTTTGTATTGGCGTTTTGGTGTTCTTAGGGTATGGTCCCAGCAGGGGAATCGCTGGATCAAAAGGCAGTTCCATTTTCAGCTTTGTGAGGAAATTCCACACTGCTTTCCACAGTGGCTGCACCAGTCTGCATTCCCACCAACAGTGGACTAGGGTTCCCTTTTCTCCACAGCCTCGCCAGCACCTGTTGTTTGTTGATCTGTTTATGATGGTCATTCTGACCGGTGTGAAGTGGTACCTCATGGTGGTTTTGATCTGCATTTCTCTGATGGCTAGTGATGCTGAGCATCCTTTCAAATGCCTCTGGGTTCTCTGTATCTCGTCCTTGGAAAAGTGTCTGCCCAGGTCCTTTGCCCATTTTTTGATTGGATTGTTTGTCTTCTTGGAGTGGAGTCGAGTGAGTTCTTTATGTATCTTGGAGATCAAACCTCTATCTGATGTATCATTAGCGAATATATTTTCCCATATGGTTGGCTCCCTTTTCATTTTGCTGATGTTTTCTTTTGCCGTGCAGAAGCTTCTTATTTTGATGAGGTCCCACTTGTTTATTCTTTCCTTTATGTCCCTTGCTTTAGGAGACATATCAGTGAAAAAAATTGCTGCGTGGGATATCTGAGAGTTTCCTGCCAATGTTCTCCTCTAGGACTTTGATGGTGTTGCAACTTATATTTAAGTCTTTTATCCATCTTGAGTTTATTTTTGTGTATGGTGTCAGCTGATGATCCAATTTCAATTTCTTGCATGTAGCCATCCAGCTCTCCCAACACCATTTGTTGAAGAGGCTATTATTGCTCCATTTTATGCTTCTGCCCCCTTTGTCAAATATTAGATGCCCATAGAGACCTGGGCTTATTTCTGGGCTTTCTATTCTGTTCCACTGGTCTATGGGTCTGTTCTTGTGCCAGTACCAGATTGTTTTGAGTATAGTGGCTTTGTAGTAGAGTTTGATGTCCGGTACTGTGATCCCTCCTACTTTGTGTTTCTTTCTCAAAATTGCTGCAGCTATTCGGGGTCGTTTATGGTTCCATATAAATTTTTGAAATGTCTGTTCTATTTCTGTGAAATATGTCATTGGTATCTTAATAGGGATTGCGATGAATCTATACATTGCTTTGGGTAGTATGGACATTTTGATGATATTAATTCTTCCAATCCATGAGCACGGTATATGCTTCCATTTATTTGTGTCTTCCTTAATTTCTTTTTTCAATGTTGCATAGTTTTCTGCATACAGATCTTTTACGTCTTTGGTTAAATTTATGCCCAGGTACTTCATTTTTCTTCTTGCTATATCGAATGGTATTTTTTCTCTGATTTCTTCTTCTTCTATTGCATTGCTGGTGTACAAAAATGCCTTTGATTTCTGAATGTTGACTTTGTATCCTGCCGTTTTGCCAAATTCACTTATTAGGTTGAGGAGTTTTTTGGTAGAGTCTACAGGGTTCTCTATGTACACTATCATGTCATCTGCAAACAATGATAGCTTTACTTCCTCCTTTCCTATTTGGATGCCTTTTATCTCTCTTGTCTGACCGCTGTGGCTAGGACTTCCAATATGATGTTGAAAAGAAGCGGTGAGAGCGGACATCCTTGTCATGTTCCCGATCTTAGTGGGAAAGCTTTCAGTTTTTGCCCGTTGAGTATGATATTGGCTGTAGGTTTTTCATATATGGCCTTTATTACGTTGAGGAATGCCCCATTTATTCCTATTTTGCTGAGTGTTTTGATCATAAATGGGTGCTGTACCTTATCGAATGCTTTTTCTGCATCTATCAAGATGATCATGTGGTTTTTGTCTTTTATTTATGTGATGTATCACGTTTACTGATTTGTGTATATTGAACCATCCCTGCATCCCTGGGATGAATCCCACTTGATCGTGGTGGATAATCTTTTTAATGTATTGCTGGATGCGGTTTGCCAATATTTTGTTGAGGATTTTAGCATCTATGTTCATCAGCGAAATTGGCCTGTAGTTTTCTTTCTTTGTAGGGTCTTTATCTGGTTTTGGGATCAGGGTGATGCTGGCCTCATAGAAAGAGTCTGGGAGTCATCCAACCTCTTGGATTTTTTAGAATAGTCTGAGAAGGACAGGGGTTAGCTCTTCCTTAAATGTTTTGTAAAATTCTCCTATGAAACCGTCCAGCCCTGGGCTTTTTTGTGCTGGGAGTTTCTTGATGACTGCTTCAATTTCCCCAGCTGTTATCGGTCTGTTCAAGCTTTCTGTTTCTTCCTCCTTCAGCATTGGAAGATTATACTTTTCTAAAAATTTGTCCATTTCATCAAGATGTTCAAATTTCTTGGCATATAATTGTTCATAGTAGTTTCTGATGATCCTTTGTATTTCTGTGGTATCAGTTGTTATTTCTCCTCTTTCGTTTCTGATATTATTAATTTGGGTCCTCTCCCTTTTTTCCTTGATGAGTCTGCTTAAAGGCTTGTCAATTTTATTTATCTTTTCAAAGAACCAGCTTCTGGATTGGTTGATCCTCTGAATTGTTCTTTTTGTCTATCATTTTTAACTGACAGGCTTTTAGGTAATTCAAGATACACACACACACACACACACACACACACACACATAAAATGAAATCAAAATTAAATATTAAAAAGTTCCTAAAACACCTCTGGAACACTGGGTTCTAACAAAAAACAATTTGAAAATCATACAGTAAACAATCTGCCAGAACGCATGAGACAGGGCAGTACAATTAAACAGCACACCACACCCAAGTTAGCCTGTCAGCACACAGCCATGTGATATGCAACTTACTGATTTCATAACTAAAATGTTGATTAAAGTTAAGTTCCTAAAACTAAAGTAAAAATTAAACAACAATGTTTTACATCAGGAGCATCCTGATATAAACAGAGCTAATATCTCTAATACAAATAGACATGAAAAATTAGTTTTAAAGGATTCTTGAAAATACTGATTTTTTTAATAGTACAATCCAAATGATAGAGCAGTTATGCAAAATATTACTCACACCACTTTATTTAACCTGGCATTCTAGGTAAATAAATATGTTATGATTCAAGTTATGGATGTACACAAATTATCTTTAATACAGTTGACCCCTGAACAACATGGGTATGAATTTCATGGGTCCATTTATCCATAGATTTTTAAAAATAAGTAACTGTACTATTTTCCCATTGCATGTGGGAGTCCACAGATGTGGAGGGCTGGCCATATGCATTGATCTACGCCAGTGATTTTCAACCTTTTTGATCTCCTAGCACACATAAACTAATTACTAAAATTCTGCAGCACACCAAAAAATGTATTATATTTTTGGCTGATCTGAAAAAAAAAATAGGCACAATTTTTATTCATTCACATTGGACATTTATTATTGTGTTGACTGTTGTCATTTTTGTATTTGACAATATAAGGTAAAAGAGGTCAATGTCCCTGACTAAATAGTCAGGTATTACATGTTTTAAAAATTCTTGTGGCACATCTGCGAATGTTGGTATACACAGTGGGGTCCTGGAACTAATCTCCCTCAGATACCGAGAGACAACTTAAGTTTTTGGAAAGTCAAAAGTGGTATGTGATGCATATTTCACAGA